AGAAACCCTATACAAACATTGATCTTATTGCAAAGGGAATCGTTTTAAATCCAGTTTCACTTACAGATTTTCTCTGCAGTTCCTGCAAGTCATGCAGATTAAGTCAGTACATAAAAACCCACTTATCCTGCAGAAAATCAGTCTTAATTTTATTTCTATTATCATTTTTTGTCCTGTACTTTGCCAATGTTTCCCACTTTTGTGACAAGTGACCTGTATTTTCTCCTTATCAACAAGCAAACAACAGTCAATAAGTTGCATTAATATCATACATAATCACCCATTGAACAGATACATTGTATACAGAGCACTGTTATCATAACTTGATAGTTTTTACAGGCAGAACTAATATTTGATAGCAGGTATGACCAAGGTGATTATTATTAAAATTTCATGTAGGCATGTGTTTGGAATTGCTTGTTAATAACTTAAACTTTCACCTTTGTGGCAGAAATGTCCAGATTTGGATTGTGCCTCAAGAAAATGTCTAAGGTTTGAGTAAAATTGGTTTAGTCATTTTATTTTTAATAGTAGGGGGATGAAAAATATGTACTTTCCCATTATACAACATTGGTATTACCTTAATCCTGCATGCAGTCACATCAAATTGAAATCAAAAGTTGAAGTTTGGCATGCATATATTCTTATTATAATGAAATGCCATGGTGTTTTTGAGTTGCACAAGTGCAATTGATTTTTGCAATCATGTTTTCATTAAGCTCATAAATTGTGCTGCTGAGGAAAGGCTCTGACATACATGCATGCGTGGCTGCCTAGTCCATGTAGCAAAAATTCTACTTGAAATGTACACTGGTCAGAAGAATGACTCCACAAGAACTTTTGACTCCATGTCTAATTGCTCCTAAGTTTTGTGGAACAGGGTCTCTCTTTTCTATAGCTTTTTTACAGGGTATGTGTTAGACCAGGGGTCAGTAACCTATGGCCTGAAGGCCAAATCAGCCTACTGAGCAATGTTATCCAGTCCACAAAACTAGGACATTGGTAGCAGTTCAGTGGTGGAGGAAGCATTGGTGTGGTTGATATTTGGGGAAAAAAGTGTATTGACAGCATTTCAGTGGTGGCACTAGGCAGTGGGGGAAATAGCAGCAGCAGCCAGATCCCAAGTGGTGGCCCACATTTGGACTAAGTTGCATTCATTTGGCACACAGCTCCTAAAAGGTTGATGATCCCTCTTTTGAACTGTTCCAGTAGTAGTGTCCATGCAAATACACCAAGACGATTTGGGTGCCCAATGTGAGACACCTTAAAGGGTTCTGATTTTCAGACACTTTCAGAGCACTCAACAGTTTATGAAAATCAGAACCCATTTAAATGCCTCAATTTGGACATCCAAAAAATCCCTAGTTGCTTTTGAAAGTCTGGTAGAGTTCTGAACTAAGTCCTGAAAAGGGGCACAAAATTTTTTGTGCATTTTTCCCCATCTTTTTTTTTCTGTTAAAAAAATCTATGGTAATTCTATTGAATGAAGTAAACTAACAGAATATTAAGGTTGCAAAATGAAACACTAAAAGGTCAGGAAATGTCTAAGTTACATTTGTGACTTATTTTAAATAATGAGAAAATTGTAGTATGTTCATGAATTGTTCATAAACACATAGAAGTGAAATTCATTAACTAAATTATGATATATTTCCCTCCCAACCCTATCATTATTCTAGTCTTTCCCTTGAGCAGATAAAGTAAAATTTAAGTCCCAACAGCAATCTTGTTTCTATGCCTCAAATCTTTCACTACCTTTTTTTTTCTTCCAGAACATCCATACTAATAAATTTACAATTGACCGGCACAGTGGTGTTCTTCGCATCAAAAGAGGGGTTACCCTGGACTATGAAAAATCAAGGACTCATTTTGTTACCGTTGTTGCAAAGGTATCAAGCTCTTTCCTGAGAGAAGATACTGAGAAGAGGAAGGGCTGCAACTATGCAAAGCTGTATTTAGAATGCTGCAAAAGTCTAGAGCCAGCATTCCACACCGCCCTCTTCGGTGCGAATTAGACCCAGATGAATGTGGTTCCTGGCCTACCCTCGTTCTGGCCAATGTGCAACAATCAGCTGAGTGTTGCCTGTGGGCATTGTCTACCACTATTAAGGCATGAAGCAACATATAAGTGTTGAAATTCAACTATCTTAGCACAGGATGGAAGTGACACTTCTGTTCTTCAGAAACTTACTTTCCCAGTTTTCCTTGTTACAATGAAGATGCTAAAATGTACCCACTTCTTTAATTTCCAGCAAAATTATTTATTTGTAGCCAGAGCTTGGAGGCAGTAGAAGTTAAAAGCTTGAGTCCTCTCTCTAATTGGCTCTTGTATGTCAGGAACACAGAGCTAATGGTACCACAATCCACAAAGATCATTTATACATTGTAGCCATTTAAGAGCTGCTGGCTTTGTGCTCTCCTACACTTCTGATTATATCAGAAGAGAATTCCTAGGAGACTTTGATCACATGCTCTGTTTGAGCCTTCCCTAGCAATGCTACTTGAAGTGGTGTATTCTTTCTATTATGTTAGATCTATGTTTAGAATAAAAAGCTATACATCCTCTTGGCCAATTTTTGCTTCTTTTTCTAACTCTCCCTTTTTCTGAAAGCCCTGGAATTTTCTGCCCTAGGTGGTGTTGATACACAGGATATCAAATACAAAATGATATGATTCTTTGTAGTGACCTAACCATTTCTTAATGTTAAAATGACTCCAGAGAGAGTCAGGCTGTCCCTCTAATCAGAAAGGGAACAAAACAAGCTGAAAATAGCAGAAACAAAACAGAGCAGAGTTTATTGTAACAGTTGGCATTAGCTGATTGGTTCTAATATCATTTCTCTGTTTCCACATAGTATTGACCTGAAAAATTACCATTTTCTTGCTAAGGACATATGAAATAAACACACACACACCCTCCTGCCCGCAATCCTTGCTTCTGATTCTCATGCATCTGTTCTTCTATTTGTTGATAGAGATATAATAGCTTATAATAGCCTTAGGAATGAACAGTGAAGGCTAATCAGAGACGTGTGTGGTATTGTAAACTGATAAGTCTACAATCAAGGGGTCTCAGGCAAATTTCAACACTGTGATTTTTACAATGTGTTTTCTTTCAGGATGGTGGTGGGAAGCTCCGAGGAAACAACAAGGTGTTTTCAGCAACAACTACAGTTACTATCAATGTGGAAGATGTTCAAGATACCCCTCCCATGTTCATTGGGACTCCCTACTATGGATATGTCTATGAGGATACCCTGGCCGTGAGTATCACTATCTTTCACCTTTTGGAGAACCAAGAAATAAACACATTCACTATTAAAGCATTGGGTTAAGTTTAGATAGTAGTTTATGGCACTAACTTTACATTACTAAAGACCCAGATCCAAATTTCTGACTTGAGCCTTAACAGAAAAGACTATGGTAAATCTCAAGCTAGTACTTCTTTCATAGACTTCATGGACATTTGGACTCGAAGGGACCCCGGAGAATCATCGAGTCCAGCCCCCTGCCCCAGGGGCAGGAAGTCAGCAGGGATCATAGGATCCCAGCAAGATAACCATCCAACGGTGTCTTGAAGGCATTCAAAGTGGGTGCTTGAACCACCTCCGGTGGCAGTCTATTCCAAAACTTGGGGGCTCGGACAGTGAAAAAGTTCTTTCTTATGTCCAGCCTGAATCAGTCATGGTGGAGTCTGTGACTGTTTGATCTTGTCATCCCTTGGGGCGCTCTGGTGAACAGACGTTTCCCCAGATTCTGATGAGCACCCCTGATAAATTTATAGGTGGCCACCAGATCACCCCTTTTCCAGGCTGAAGAGCCCCATAACTCTCAGCCTCTCATCATAAGGTCTGTTTTCCTGCCCTATGATCATGCGTGTGGCTCTCCTCTGCACCCTCTCAAGTTTCTCCACATCCTTTTTGAATTGTGGAGCCCAAAACTGGACACAGTACTCCAGCTGCGGCCTCACCAAGGCTGAGTACAACGGGAGAATGACGTCCTGGGATTTGCTCGAGAAGCATCTATGGATGCAAGCCAGAGTTTTGCTCGCTTTACTAGCTGCAGCATCACATTGAAGGCTCATGTTCATCTTGTGGTCAATCATGACCCCCAAGTCCCTTTCATCTGTAGTGCTAACCAGCGTAGCACTGCTAAGCCTATAAGCATGCTGCAGGTTTTTCCTCCCAAGGTGGAGAACCTTGCATTTGCCAGTGTTGAACACCATCAGATTCTCATCCGCCCATTTCATAAGCCTGTCAAGATCCTCCTGGATCACCCTCCTGTCCTCAGGTGTGGATGCTTTACCCCAGAGTTTGGTGTCGTCAACAAACTTGGCCAGTCCGCTTCTGACACCAATGTTCACATCATTGATGAAGATGGTTAAATAGTATAGGCCCTAGGACAGAGCCTTGAGGGACCCCACTGGTCACAGCGCACCAAGACGATTGGCTCCCATCGATCACCACCCTCTGGGTCCTACCATGGAGCCAATTCCCCATCCAGTGAATCATGGTGAGGTTGAGGCCACAGTTAGCCAGTTTAGCCAAGAGGTGATCGTGGGATAACAGATAAAAGGCTTTTTTAAAGTCAAGATATACAACATTGATCTCTTCCCCCTTGTCCACGTGATATATCACCTGGTCATAAAAGGAAATGAGATTGGTCAGACAAGACCTTCCCACAACAAACCCATCCATGCTGAGTATCTCTCAGGATATTTTCTTCAGCTAGTCTGTTAAGCATGGCCTCTTTGATAATCTTTTCCAAGACCTTCCCCAGGATAGAGGTCAGGCTGATGGGCCTGTAGTTTGCTGGATCTACTTTCCTCCCTTTCTTGAAGATAGGCATGACATTGGCCCTCTTCCAATCATCTGGCACTTCACCAGAGTGCCAAGAGCTCTCAAAGATTCGTGCCAGGGGATGAGCTATGATGCTCACCAGCTCCCTGAGTACCCTTGGGTGTAACCCATCAGGGCCGGCTGACTTGAAGGTATCCAGCCTCTCAAGGTGTTCCTTGACAAGGTCAGCTTCGATGGAGGGCAAGAAATCTCCCTCACCCAGGCCTCCCTGAACCATAGTGGGCAGGACCATCCCATAAGACTGGTGAAAAACTGACGCAAAATGCCCATTTAGCAAATTTGCTTTTTCCTGGGCGTCAGTTGTCAGTTGCCCCATCTGATTTAGCAGGGGTCCAATGTCACCCTTGCTTTTCCTCCATCTCCCCACCTATCTAAAAAAGGACTTTTTATTTTCCTTGATATTTGTAGCTAGCTGGAATTCCATCTCAGCCTTGGCTTTCCTGATTTGCTCTCTGCAGGTCCGGACCAGAGCAGAGTATTCCTCCTTTGTGGCAGTTCCAGTCCTCCATCCTTTGCAGGTCTTCCTTTTAAGATGCAGGAGGTCTGCCAGTTCCCTGGAGAGCCAAGGGCGCTGATGTGCGCTTTTGCTGCCTTTCCGCTGAGACGGGATGGACTTTGCTTGCGCATCCAGGATTGCTCCCTTGAGGAGCAACCACTTATCCTGAACTACCCTCACCATTGGGTTGTGGCCTTTTAGGGCCTCTCTGACAAGCCTCCCTAGCTTGTCAAAGTCAGCTTTCCTGAAGTCGAGGACTTCTGTATTACTGACTGACTTGCCAGCTTTACAGCAGATGGTGAAGGTGATCAGCTCATGGTCACTGTCACCCAGCTTCCCTTCGATCGTTAGGTCACTGATTGGGTCATCCCCGGTTGCCAGTATAAGGTCAAGCAGCGCTTTACCTCTTGTCAGCCTGTAGACTTCCTGCGTCAGACAGAGGTCCACACATGAGAGAAAGCTTTGCGACCACTCAGATTTGGCCAAGCACTCCTCCCACGAGATGCCTAGGTAGTTAAAGTCTCCCATGACAACCATACACTGGGATTGTGTGACCTCAGCCAATTCCCTGGTGAACTCCTGGTCAAGGTCTTGACTCTGGGTAGGGGGTCTGTAGTAGACCCCCACCATAGTATCCCCTGTGCTGTGTTCCCCACAGATTTTAACCCAAAGGGTCTTAAGTCATCCACCATGGGTGCCAATGTTGGCTTGCAGGGACACGTAGCTTTCCTTGGCATAGCTATGCCCCCGCCCCTTTTGTCCACTCAATCCCTCCTGTACAGGGTATAGCCATCTATACCCATGGTCCAGTCATGGGTGGAGTCCCACCAGGTCTCCGTTATCCCAATGACGTTATAGTTATTTGCATTTAGCAGGAGAAGAAGTTTCTGCTGTTAACTTGATGTCCAATCAAGTCTCCTGCTAACTTTATGTTCAATCACCACTCTCCAAAATGAAAGGTATTTTTGCCCTTTGATCTCACAGTGAGTAGAACTATCCATTACTGGGATTCAAAGAGCTGCTGTAAGAGAACTCAAATGAGCTACCCCATTCACCTGACCACTCAGCACAAGTGATACAGAAGACTCTGGGCATATCAATAAACAGAAATATTTGGTCTTGGCCTTTACTTACCAGCCTTTATTTGGCCTTTACTTACTAGCTCACATGTCAGTGAGCTATCAGCTAGCTCTGTAGAATATCACCAGGGAGGTGATACTTCCCCTCTGTGCGGCACTGGGAAGGCCACAGCTGGAGTAGTGTGTCCAGTTTTGGGTGCCACACTTCAAGAGGGATGTGGATAACCTTGAGAGAGTTCAGAGGAGGGCCACTCATATGGTTAGGGGCCTCCAGGTAAGGCCCTACAAGGAGAGATTGAGGGACCTGAATCTCTTCAGCCTCTGCAAGAGAAGTCTGAGGTAATCTTGTGGCCATCTACAACTTCATGAGGGGGGAACAGCAAGGGATAGGAGATGCTCTGTTTACCAGGGCACCCCTTGGAGTAACTAGAAGTAATGGCCACAAACTGACAGAGACCAGATTTGGGTTAGACATCAGGAAGAACTTCTTTATGGTAAGGGTTGCCAGAATCTGGAATGGGCTTCCAAGAGAGATGGTGTTCTCCCCTATCTTGGATGTCTTCAAGAGAAGACTGGACAAGCACCTAGCTGGGGTCATCTGACCCCAGTGCTCTTTCCTGCCAGGGGCAGGGGGTGAGACTAGATGATCTGCTGATGTCCCTTCTGACCCTAATATCTACAAATATTAGCTAGGGAAGACTCTATGATTCTGCTACCCTATTGCCCATTATGCCATAAGGTCCCAAGTACAACCTTCCCTGGAGTCACTATGAAGGTAGTATCTCTGACATCTAATATTGTGGGAACTTCTCTGATAAATGGTGACAAAGGAGACAGGGGCTATGCGACTGTCACAGCTCTAAAGCTACCAGACTGTCAAGGATACGCTGTCAGGGCGACAACCAGGAGGTGATCAGCCATGTACTCAATCAACTTCTGGGTTTCCTCCACAAGCTTTTTTTGTAAAGTCTGCCTTCAGCCCACAGAATAATATTGACACTTTCTGTAGACATTTATTCACGTTTCATGTATGAATATCCTGTTCATCAGTTTGGTAAATTAAATGACTTTTTGAGGTTGGTGTTTGCCAGCATATATATTGTATGTTCTGACAATGCTGTTGCTCTGACAGAAAGCTGTCCTTATTTGAAATAAGTAGTGGTCATCATGAAAACATTCCCACTTGTTCTCTGCAAGTAATTAACATTCTCTCAGTGTTCCCCATACAAAAATATTGACTGGCATTTTCAAAGGGGTTAGATTATAAGAGCTTTGCATATTTTGCTGAACACTTGTATTCTGGATTATTCTCCTGGATGCAGTAGAACTATGTCTGTGAATAAACATTATTAATAGTAACAAATTTGGAATAATGTAGCCCAGGGTGATGCTTGTTAGGAAAAAGGAAAGCCCATAAAGCTTTTAAAGACAACAACGAATTTTCATCAGGATTTTACACTTATGAGATTTCAGAGTACTTACAAGGAATGTTGCCATATGACGCCCTAATTTGTTTCTACTCTATCTCAATTTAATTGGAAAGAACAAAAATGATGAAGTAACCTTCTAGAAACTGTCTGTTTCTTGGCAAACTAAAAGGCAAAAAAACACATTGCAATTCCAAAACATGGAAATTTTTAAAAGTTACTGAACTGTATGTTTTGCTGTTTACATGAGCTGCGTGATATTTGCAGGATCAATGTAGAGGTCTTATTCTGCAACATGCTAGGCTCCTTCACCTCATTTAGTATCAGTAAAAGTGGAGAAAAGACTTCATAAATCAGGCTGTGATCAAGGAGTTATAAGAACTGGAAGTTAGTCCCATTATATGAACGGTATGTCTGTATGAGAAGAGGACAGAAGAAACAGAGGTAGCTTCTTCGGATTAAAATTAGATGTGGAAATGGGCCAGAATCTTAAATTAAAGTTCTCCTAGGCTTTTGGATAGTATGGCATAATGGAAATTTTAGTTCACATCTGAATTTTGCAAATGGCTCTAGTTTGCAATAAGCCAAACTAAAACCTTCCAGTTGAATACTCCTAAACCCTGCTTAAGTATCCTGTATCCAAATGTTGTGGTTTGAGCCTATCTCTTCTTATTGTTTTCCAGGTTCTTTCTGGCCACTTCCATGGTTTGTTTTCCCACATAAAGTAAAAGGAATGATACCTTAAAACCCTCACAGAGGGTTTAATCTCTATTTCAGGCTAATGGAGTCAGTATTGCCACTGAAATGCTCATGTGGGCAGCTCTCTGCTCATCAGAAACCCCACAGGGGAGCAGATCAGTATTCTCATTATTTATTCTCATTGGTTATAGAAAGCTGCACAAGGTAGAGTAGATGGGTAGCTGTTAGTTGGGCAAATAACACAGTATATCATCAGGAGCAACACTGGGACTGTTGTGGGCCAATATTTCACTTTGGACCAACTTCATATTCCACATATCAACAAAGGTTGTGCCTGTCTTACATTATGCTGACATTAAGCTGATCAGGGTAGGTATTAGATAACGAATCTCTTTGCTGACAGTGCTGCAAAATGAATGTTCACATCTGGGGGGGGGGGAAGAGGAGGAGGAAAGAAACAGAACACAGTGCAACTTTGCTAGATTCAACCATTATAAACAATAGGAAAAAAGCGTCAACTAGACTTTGCATCAAACAGTAGCAGCAGCTGATTTCCCAAGTACAGGCCACCCTCTGTTCAAGTTAATAATTAGGAAATCTGTAGGCACTGCTCAGTCAAACCAGAGTCTGATTTGGCCTTAGCCAGCTACTTAGGCTGGCCACCTACCTAAGGCCATGAGCCGCACAGCATTCCACCTTGATAAAGAGCTGTCCTAAGCAAAGGTTCAGTAATCCAGAAGTATCTCAGTCCTGTCTCTCCCAGGAGACAGAACTTCTAAACTTAACTGCTAGCCAAGCTTCACATTTCCCTTGGAAGATTTATCCTGCTCAAAATATCAGACTTCGAATCATGAGCAGCTGTGATGTCAACCTGCATTGCTGAATGGAAAGTGTATATAGGTACTGACACTGATTTTTGCTTCCTATCACAACTCACTGAAAGAATCAGCACCTGCACTACAGCACATGAATAAGCAACTGGGAGATTTACAGGAAGAAGAATGGAGGAAAGGGGCACAAAAGCCGAGTGCCTGGTCCTGAAACCTAATCCTGGGCCCTCCAAAGAGTTGTAGCTGTACCAAGCAAATGGCCTGCCCAAAGTCAAGCTGTGATTTTCAAGCTAAGAAGTATGAGTCCCTGCCATATTCCTAATGCAACCACAGCAAGAGCATCTATCACCCTGTTGGGGAGAGCAGGGGGGCTGGCTGAAGTGGATTTTATTAATATGCAGTAGAAATTTCAGTATTCTTTGATCTCACTACATAGACTGTAATTCCCCATTCTTCCCTAGGGCTCTGAGGTACTAACTGTTATTGCTCTTGACGGTGACAGAGGAAAGCCTAACAATATTCATTACAGTCTTGTGAACGGTGAGTAGACTAAGTTGGTATGAAATCCTAAGGAACGTCAAAGGTAGATGTAACATTAAATTAAAATGTGGTGTGCTAGAGTCTAATAAAGTCTAAAGAAAACTGTCATAAAATAGTGCCAGACACCTGAAACTATTCCTAGTCCCTGTCTACCTGCAAGCAGCAAAGCGATGATTCATTGACCTTTAGTATTTTCTTCATGGAGCTGCACTTCTCATCTTCGAACCATTAATAATACTTATTTTTTATTTGTTAAGCACCATAGTATACTTGGCATTTGACAAGATATAAAGGAAGGCATGGTCCCACTATTAAGGGACTTCCCTGCCTAAGTTGGTAGACAAAGGAAGACAGTGAGCATATCAGGGAACAGTGCATATTGTGATGAAAATTCTTTAAAGCATAGGTCAACATTTGTAAGCCTTATGCGTGGAATGGGCATTCATGTATAAGGAGAGGCTTCATGCTCACCATACTGGAATAAGCAGGATGTTTTAGGTAGAAAAAGTTTTCCATCAACTGTCCTGAGAAGTTCTTAAACATTTGTGCATGTCTTTAATATCTGAAATCTGAGGAGGTTTCAGAACCTGGTACCAGTTACAAAAGAGGTCAACAGATAGTAACGAGAACCATGTTCACCTGATGAGTCAAATAGGTGGTGGTTGGATCTGGTGGCAGAAAGTGGTATAAAGGGCAGCCACCGATAAGGCAAGGTATGGAGAGACGTGATGACATTTAATTCTGCTAGAAAGTTGTCTTCTGTGCTTTACCCCTAAATGGGAGAGAATGGAAGATACCTTCTGCTTAAATGGGGATAAAAGGGCAAATAATGGGGCAGGGACAAGCAGGGAAGGGGAAACAGAAAGAATACAGGGGGAAGGAAAGATAGAGAATGAAAAGAAAAATTGGGAGGAAATGTTATTGACAATGGGGAAAGAGAGAGGATGTTGGCATGGGACAAGAATAAAAGGAAGGAGATGGTGCAGGGAAAATGTGAGGGAGAGATAAATTAATAGGGCTGTGTGAAATTTCTCTGGCAGTTTCATTTCAATGCTGTTTCGACTCGTTTCGAGCTTGAAACAGCAACATCAAAATGAAACAGAGAACTTTGAAACAGCCTTGAAAAGAAACAAGGCATGTCAAAACGTTTTGAAAATTTCAAAACATTTCGAGTTTTGAAGCTCAAGCTGGGCTTGCCTACAGGGAAACAGAAAGTAAAGTAAGGAGAGGGAGGGGGAAGAGGGGGGAAGCAGGGAGAAGCAGTGCTCTCATTATTGACTGTGTAGCTGGCCAGTGACTTTCATTCTTTCCTGAGATCCCTTTCAATCCCAGTGCTCAGGGGGAGGGATGGAAACTCTGCAAAGAAGGCAGCATTGTTTGAACTGCCCTGCTTTCTGCCTTGGTGTCAGTTGAGTAAGGGTGCACCTTAACACACACACACACTGTCACGCACCCATGTCACGAGTTTTGCCTGTCAGCAGCTAGAGGTGCAGGGGGAGTCTGGGTTCTGGGGCTCTGCACCTCTAGCTGCTGACAGGTAAAACTTATGACATTGGATGCTTGTGGGACTGTGTGTGTCTTGGGGCACAGGGGGGTGAAAACTGCAGGCCTACTAGCCCCTGCTGTGGCCACAAAGCCTGCCAGCTCTCAAGGAGATGGGTGCAGGGCCCCAGAACCCAGACTCCCCCTGCATCTATCTCCTTGAGAGCTGGCAGGCTTTGTGGCCACAGCAGGGGCTAGTAGGCCTGCAGTTTTCACCCCTCTATGCCCCAAGAAACACACAGTCCCACAAGTACCCAATGTCACGAGTTTTGCCTATCAGCAGCCAAAGGTGCAGGGCCCCAGAACCCAGAAGCCCCAACACATATTTCCTTGAAACTTGGCAGGCTTTGTGGCCTTATCAGGGGCTAGCACACCTGCAGTTTTCACCCTGCTGCGCCTTAACACACACAGTGTCACCCATGTCACGAGTTTTGCTTGTCTGCAGCTTGAGGTGCAGTTTCCCCCCAAACCTCTGTACCTCTCTCCTTGAAACTTGGCAGGCTTTGTGGCCTCAGAAGGGGCTAGCATGCTTGCAGTTTTGACCCCACTGTAGCTTAACACATACATGTGACATGAGTTTTTTGCTTTCAAGACTTTGTGCAGTTTCCCTGAAACTCCTGCACCTATCTCCTTGAAACTTGGCAGGCTACTATTCCTGCAAGTTTCATCCAAATCAGGCCAGAAATGACAAAGTTATAGGCTGTTTCAAGCTTCCCCATGATAGACTATGGGTGAAACATCAAAACAGCGAAACTCTTTTGGCGAAACAAAATTGAACAGCAGCTTCAAGTCAAAATGAAATTCAAAATGAAATGCTGTTCCATCAAAATGCAAGTCAAAATGGAATGGTGCCATTTCACACAGTCCTATAAATTAGGGCAGAAAGATATGGGCTTGATAAAGAGAAAGAAAAATGTGAGAGACGTGTGGTTATGGAAAGGAAAATGAGTCATTAAAATATAGAAAAAGGAAATAAACTGGTTTAAAGAGAAATATTAAGGATCGGAGAGAAGAGAGAACAGAGCACAGGTAGCACCAGGATGTAAACGCAACTTCAAG